AATTAATATAATATAATACGCACAGTATAATAATAGTTTAATAAATAGAAAATAGACAAAATAATATTAACAAAACCCATTGTGTCCAGTATCTAATTTAGACACAATAACCTGGAATTAAAATATGTAGCAATCCTCAAGTTTATTAGCATTTTGATAATACCGATCTTGGGCATGTTTTATTAATGTGTTACCTGGTCGATAAAGCTATTTCCTTACTGCATACTGAATTATTTTAGCCTAATTTATTTATTTTTCTATAAACGATATGCTTGTTAGATAATAATCACTGATCGATTTATTCGTTTTTTCTATAAACGATATGCTTGTTGGATAATAATTGCTGATCGATTTTTTATATACAAAGTTAGGAAATATGTTACTTGGGTTTAAAATTCTCTAAATTCAGAGTTATTAGCTATGAATTCATTTCTGGTTAAATTATTTTTAATACGAAATACAAAGTTTCTCTAATAAACTTTTCTATTAATATCATATTCTAGTATTAATAAACATCTTCGTATATATTCGGGTAGATGATATTTCACAAATCGTAACTATGCTTCTGGTGTTTTTAGATTATTGGTATAGTTTAAACCATATTCAGTTAATATGTATCGGATATAACTATTTTTTTCTTATTTCTCAAAAATATCTTGAATATTAGGCATGTTTAACACGTAGATTTTATTAACTAAGGCTTTTATTTAATAAGTATGAACCAACGACTGATCAATCTAGTAAATGATTAGTGAAGAAAAGGAGGAGTATATACTTCATAGATTTTTATTTCACATCGATACTACCAATTTATAAGAAAAAAATATTAATATAAAAATATATCTCTCAATTGTGATCTCAAGAATAGCATTAGGAAAACGGTAGACAACTACTCATTTTTTGCTATTTTTACTGTTTGAGTTGGTCAATGAATATAAGCCTAATTGTTGGATATAAGTTTTGAAAATCGGCTATTATATCTTTTCTAATCCGCAAACAATCACTAATTTTTATTGTTTCCAAGTTAGAAGCCAGTTTTGGAATTTTTGTAATTGTTTTTGGGCTTAAGCATCTGGAACCTCTTATTGCAAGTGATTTTAAATTGGGATACTCGACTAAAAGTGCTTTTAAATTTTTATTGTTAATTATACACGACCCACAATTTTCAAAACTTAGCTGTTGTAAATTTGCACATGTCTTATACACTTCAGAAATATATACATCCGGTCCTATATTTATTGTTCCAATAAATTTCAGAGATAATACTTGTTCACATGATTTTGGCTTCGTATTTTTACTCAATGTATTAGTAAACTTGACTCCGGAGATACCTGTTAGAGTTATTTTATACCATATTAGTCTACTAGCATTGTAATACCATTGCTTATTAACCAATAAAAGTTTACTTATTTTTTCCTCATTCATGCTGTGGTATTGGAAAATTTTTTCAAATATTTTATTTGGTATTGCAGTTATATAATGGATAGTTGATTCTTTCAACTTCGTGGATGTGGTTAGGATTATTTCTTCAAAATTAGTCCACTTTAGTCACATTGTATTCTTTATTGAGACATTATCTGCATTAACTATTTTTAACTCTCCTGCTTGTTTTATAATCACCTGATCGCTAATTTTACCTGAAAGAATAAACTCATCTGTATGGACACGCTTTATATGATTACCTAGTGATCTGATTTTTCTGATATTGTTTTGCATCCCTTGCTGAAATAAAAGGTGCTATGCGTCGATGAGGACCTGGTCTTCGTCTATCTGAATATAATCGCCCCCAGAGTGATACTAGCATATGCTTGGCAACTATACTTGCCTGTCCGCCTTTATGCTTGATTTTTGTAAGATAACTTGCCCATTGATAGAAAATTTCATCTCCGCGTATAAGCTGATTTGGCCCAAATATTAAAGCATTAGGACTTTCAGAGGATAATTCTATGTGAAGATCTAGATCTATTGCCATTTATATGTCATGGTGAGTGTAATATCTCACAAGATTATAACGAAAAGTTCTTGTACATTTTTGACCTGCTGGCTGACCTCTTATGAAAACATGATAAATTCCGTATTTTAGATTAAAGTTGATAGGATTAATGCTAATGTGTGTAAAAGTTTTAAATTCTCCTGGACCTATTGGCCAGCATGTACTCCCATAAGCTAAGATGTGCGGGTAATATTCATTGAAATCTAACTCGGTTGCAATTCCTTCATATGGCTTGGCCCATGTTAAACCTCCTATATATGCTGATTTTATCTACTGGTCTTCTTCTGGCGATAAGTCTTTAGCTTTTCTAGAACATCTAGCTATATCATGAAAGAAGCGCAGACTTGCTATTGCATACATACCAGTTTTTCTTAAGTCTATCTGCCCATCACTTTGCCAAAAAATTGCATTGGCTTCATCATTATAATGAATATGAGCCTCTTGAAGTGTTTCATTCAGATTAGCTTTGATTATGAACCAGTCTCGTGATAAATCACAGAAGTCATTTCATATCGGTCGATTTATGGAATTGGACCTTAAATTAGTTCCCAAAATATTCAATGATCTGCAAAAAGTCACATGTTGATTAGATGTAAATAAAAAACATACCCCAAAATCACATGTCAAATTCGTTGTCTCTTCTAGAGAATATAATAAAACCTATGAGCCTACTTCAAAACCCATGAGTTTTTTTAAAAAAAATCGAATTTAATAAAGAGTAAGAGAAGTAATTTTAAATTAAAACTTTTTTTTTT